AAGCTAACTCGGGTATTTTCATATAAAGATTTTTTAACTCGGGTCGAGTTCATATATATCTAAAAACCCGACCCGACCCGTCCGGCCGGAGCACTAGCACAACGTATAACTGGGATTCATAGGTCATGTATCTGGCGAGTATGTCAAGGACTTCAAAACCGCGCAGGAGCGTGTCGTTGGGAGTATGTAATACAATAAGTATTGAGATATGTTTATATGCTTTTTCAGGTTAATTACGTTAAAAAAGATCTTTTTATTTTATCTGATAAGCAATGTGACGATGTTCTTCTGGAATCTGGCCATATATCTGCATCTCCTTTATATCTAAAATTTATGTATTTATCTCGTTTAGCGGTTTGGATTGATGATGTTAATGTAAAACAAATTCGGTCAATTTTTTCACTTGCACAAACTAGTTGGGTCAGAGAGCAGATAAAGGAACCAACCAGCGAAACTCAACATATTTTGTAGCGATCTAAGAATCAAATTTGGAACTACAGTATATATAAGTATGATTTACATCATGGAAATCCAATCAATTGATATTATCTGCTTTTCCGAGAGCAATAAATTACGAGAATTATCAAGATCAACCTCCTTTGGTAGACTTTTTCCGTAATGAAAATCGAGAAGTCAAAAATAATTATTTTTAACGCAATAGCAATTCTTTATTATAATAAATTGAACTGATAAAACACGCTATAAACTGCTCCCCAGCACAACCAAATAACCCATCACATTATTACGACAGTTGTTCGTCTTCCCCTTCCCCTTCGTCTTCCTTTTCGTCTTCCTCCTGTAAAAGTGAATCACGAATTTTGATTAATGCTGTCAAAACTGAACGTCTTCCGGCCGGTTCAGCAAGATCAAAACCAGTCTTCAAACCATTCCTAGCAGGCCATCTTTGAATTTTTACTGATTGGTCTTTTGGTAAACCGTTTTCAAGCGCCTTCCAATACTTTGCAGGAATCACAGCTTTGTAAAAAGTAACGTATGTAGAGATTACGCGCATGACCAATATTGTCTGATCTGTAGGTTCCTCCTCACCAAGGGAACGTAAATTCTCACTACCGCAAGCAAGAATTTCTACAGCAATCTGCGATTCTCCATATCCATTGGCTGACGAGACATTTTTCAGATGTTTGTCCTGTTAAAAAAAGTTGTTTGAGTTTGACAAAAATAATAACCTCTCTAACAGTCAACACACAGACATCTACCACAAGAATAGCAAGGTTTTCGTTCCTTACTACAAATTCGGGGTCTGATGACACGATAGCTTCACCCTCAATGTATAGTCTGTTTAGCGGGTGATTTCTGGATTTTGGGAATGAACATTTAGGAATGACCATTGTACTTATCGCAAACAGAAGTTACTCACCTAATCATTAAGGGAAAGTTATCCAGCTTAGTAATACGAAGTAGATTATCCACAAGCGTATCAGTGAAAGTTTCGTTGGTGCCTACTACCTGAAGACCATTTAGCACGACTTGATGCAATTTCGTGACGAACGTTTGGACTTTATTATTCGTAATGCCAGTAAAATCTCTAACATTGAATGTTGGATTTCCAAGTATTGCAGTGTTGATAGTAGGGAGAAAATACTTTTGTAACTTTTGAAAGTTGGTTGCTAGAAAATCTTGAACATCTTGAACATCGGGTATAACAAGGTTCTCAGCTGAAGCTTGTTCGAAGCTCACTTTCAGTACTTCTATATCTCGTGCTTTGAACAAAGATGCCGAAGAAGGGAGGTCGTCTAAGTCATAACTAGCACTAGAACTGGAACCGAGGTTAAGTTTACTGGTGGCCTCCGTGATAACTGAGTCACCTCTGGCAAGGCGTTTGGGTTGCTGACGGGTGGCAGAAGAGCTTGCATTTTTGGTTTCGACGTTTTTTCGTTTCTTTGAAGTTTTTTCTGTGGTCTTTTTTGGAGAACTCTGGCTTTTTGAAGACATCAGTAACACAATACGACGAAAAAAGAAAGAAAAATTTTCACAAGACACGCATCACGAGGTGATAATCAGATTTGTAACAATCAGCAGGTCACACGATTACATCATGCATAAAAGTTCCATGACCTTTTAATTTATTCTGTGATATATGTTGATCGAATATCTGTGTTACGCAATCGATTTATCGTGATTTTATTACTAGACATCGCAAATTTTTATTTTTTCTTGGCAAAAATTCAGCGAACATGTTCGCCAAATTCACATGATGTTACCCACATAAAAAAATAGTGGATAGATTCACATATATACAGCGATAACTGTACTATTTTTATTAAATAAAAAAATATTTATCCAACCTCTTCATTTATCGATTCCATATTAGAAAATGTTTGACTATCTCCTACATCATGCATACTAACATCACTGTCGTTTTGAGACGAAGGTATATCACCGGAGACAGCTACTTCGCGGTTAGAAACAACATGGCTCTGATTCATTTCTGAAGAATTATTTTGTGCTTCATCTGTGGCCTCATAAGGTGGTGGTGGTTGAAGAGATGATGTTTTGATAGAGCCAGAATGACCAATATTTTGTTCAGGATTTTCCGCACCAGTATTGTTTGTATTAGTGTTTATTGCATCACGGGGTGGAGATGGAGATGCTGATCGTCTACGACTTCTTCGACTATCAACGGAAGTTCTTCGGCTTCTTCGGTTACCTGGCATTGTTTGACCTAATTCATGTTCAACTTCCCCAGTAGATGGTGCGGGTGTATTATTCTCCCCAATTCTACGTTGTCTACGATTAGAACTATTAATGTTACGGATTCTATCAAAATCGTCTTCAGGCCTTCCCAAAAATGTGTACGGAGTTCATTGAAATATTGCACACCCGTTCGACTTCTTTGTGCTCTTTGATTTCCTGCCATATAATCGCACATCAACTAATTGACATAAATTATTAGTCATAATAGCTAAGATGTAAGCAAAAAAAAAATTAGGAAAAAAAGCTTAATATACCATACTTACATTGTAATCCCGAACAAGATTCATAAACTTTTCTTTACATTGGTGTCCATTAAAGCTC